TTGATTCCAGGTATAGTTAACTGAAGGCAGATGTTTGAAAATACCTGAATTCATAATCAGAAGACAGCATGAGCTTATAAATTTCATATCCCATTTCCAGATTTTTCTAAAGAATTGACATTTATAAACATAGTCCTCCACTGTGTACACACATTAAAAAAAAAAAAAGCTTAAGGAGAAATTTCTAGGGTAATGGAAATGTTAGGTCTTAGATAAGGTGGTAATACAGGAATAAATAAAACTGTCAAAATTCATCAAGCTGAACACATAATATCTTTGCACTTTATTTTATTTTAATAATTACTTCAGAAAGTTTTTTTTTAATTATCAGTTCAAACCTCCAGCTCTGTAAGTGCTCTGTTTTTCACAAACTAAACCTCACATCAATAATTTTTCCTTTCTAATTGTTGTGCTAGGTAGATTTAAAAAAAAATCACTCTGCAATATCTTCCTCTTCCAGTCCATAATGCTAGCAGGTTTATCAAATGTTTATGTCTCTTTCTTTCTAGATTATTCAGACCAAAATTGAACAAAAACAAAGGCCAGATCTGCTGACCCTCAGGTGAACCCTTGGTTCTGCATGGAACTCTCTGTCTCCGGCAGGGATTAGTCACAGTGCTGCCTGAGTCCTAATTAGTTTTTCAGTCATCTTAATTAAATAAAGTTTATTTAATTCTTATAATAGCATCCTGAGAAAGTACACTAAACAGTTTGCTAAAATTCAAATGTATTTTCTAGCTCAGATATTAAACATGAAAAAAATGCCCATTTTATAGGCCTCTCTGATTTATTTGAGTTCTCCCTGACCCTCAGTTTTCCCACACATTTCTTCATTGACTCAGAAGATGAACTGTGTAAACTGCCAAGATGAAACTCCTCTGCACTACTGGTCCACAGATCAGTAGAACCAGAAAGCCTAAAAGTCTTGGTAATTCTTCTATTTAAATCATGTTTATTAAGATAAAGTCTGTTTAGATCATGCATCTTTTGGGAATTACAGGTTAAAACCTTCATTCCACGCTCACCACCAGTGCCCTGATTATGGTCTTTGCAACTCTTAAAAGTAGAATACATCAACAATGTCAAATGCAAGGGCATTAAGAAAAAACAGCAAAGTGTGAAGACAATGATTTTTTTTTTTAAATGAGAAAAATATGGAAAAACTACAGAAATAGAGAAATTTTGGAGGAAGCTAATCAAATTTTCAAACCAATTGTAGTTATTGAGGTTAACATCAAGCTATAAAAGTCCGTAACAGGAGAATCTTGGGCAGCCAAAATGTCCATGAGAATAAGAACTCTGCCTTTTAGTGGGGGGAGGTGGGAGGGAGTCAAAAGGTGAGCCTATGTTATAGAGATCTATAAAAAAAAGACTGATTATTAAAATCTACACGGGCATAAATTTCTAGAGTTGAAACAGGGCCTTTTGTAGTAGTTACCACAAATACTGGCTATTGGCTTTCTAGGGAAGTCACACCAGAGACCATGTCATTGAACTCTTCAATGAGTGCTTCTGTAAATCAATTAACAACCCCCTAGTTTGTTCACTTATAAATACAAAGCTGACTCAAACTTGTGTTGTAACATTGCAGTGGAAATGCAAAGGAAACAAGAATATGATAGCATGAATTACAAGGGCCTTCAATGATGGGCAAATTTTGGACACTATTATAACTTTTTACACATTCATAGAAAATCACAAAATTTTGATGAGGAAAAAGTACCCATATTCCCCTAAAAAATTCATAATCTCACAATTAAAAAGAAACACCATTGTTAACTGTTTTTCTCTGGCCAGAGACATGAAAATGTATTAAAGATGCAGTTTTCTGACAACTTCCTCTTAATATGTACTGAGCATGTTTACATCTCTCTGTGATTCGTTTGCAGGTGAACAAGTCCTCACTTAGCATCTTCAATAAGTTCTGGGAAATGTCAATTTTAAGCAAAATGATGTATAATATAACCAATTTTACTATAGGTTAATTGACATAAATGAAAGTTAAGTTCCTATGGTATATTTTCAGTCAGCCATTTTGTAAATAAAGACCAAAACACTTCTAATATTAAATCATTTGTGTCCATTCATTAATTTTTCAACTCTACTATTTCAATTTGGGGTCCCCAGTAACTGAAGCCTAGCCTAGAAGCTCAGGGTGCAAGGGAGAAATTCCCCATTGGAGGGAATGCCCCACCATCTCAGGGTGCCGACACTCAGACTGGGACAACTGAAACACACCAATGAACCTAAGGCAAACATCTTGGGGTGCGGGAGGAAAGTGGAGAGGCAATGGCAACCAAGCCCTTTCCTAAGAAAACTGGATGTATCTGTGAAGTTTAGAGTCCAATATTCCCTGAAACCCTATTTATAGCCCCCAAGCCAATGGTTAAGAATCATAAGAAACTACCTGTTAAAAAACATATTTCAGCACATGACAATCACACAGATGGAAATAGTGCTTTGATAAGGACCTGGATAACTGCAATACTGATTTTGCCACATTTTAAGTAAATATTTGGAGGTGAAATTTACTCCACTAAAAGAATGAGAATCCAACCACCACATCTTAAATGTTAAAATTCTCAATGGAATATTACTCAGCAATCAAAAAGATAAACTCATGCAATTTGCAGCAACATGGATGGAACTGGAAGGGATCATGCTCAATGAAATAAGCCAGAAAGAAAAAGAAAAATACCGCATGGTCTCACTCATAGGAGTTTAGAAAACCTAAATAAGGGACCAGGAAAAAGAATAACTATAATAAAGAAAAAAATCAAAAACAAGCAACTATAAACCAGAGACACACGGGAGGGGTGGCAGGGAGAGGAGACATTGGGGTCAAAATAAGGGGGATGCAATTGTATGGGGAATATAACCAAGATGAAAATGCACACATTGTGCAAAAATGAAAAATGATGTAAGAAATATACAAAATAAAAAATTCTCAATAAACATGCATAATTTAAACATACCGAAGTTACCTCAGTAAGTATTCAAGTACAAAGTTTTTTATACATCATGCAATATTATTTAGACATAAAAAAGAATGAAATCTTGCCATTTGCAACAACATGGATGGATCTTGAAGTCATTTATGCTATGTGAAATAAGTCAGGCAGAGAAGGAAAAATACCATATGATCTCACTTATGTTTAGAATTTTAAAAAATTTAAATAAATCAACCTCATAGGCATAGAAAACAGATTAGTGGTTGCCAGAGGCGGGAGGCAAGGTGGGTAAAATGGGTAAACAGGATCAAAAGGTACAAACTTTATAAAGTTATTATGTTCTGGGAATGTAATATACAACATCATGATTGTAATTAATACTGTATGGCATATCTGAAAGTTGCTAAGAGAGTAGATCTTAAGAGTTTCCACCAATAGTTATTTAAGTTATAAAAAATTCATAAAACAGTTACAAAAAGTTTTGTAACTGTATGTGACAGATGTCACTATTGTAAATAGATTTACTGTGATGATCATTTCACAATGTGTTTAAATACTGAATCACGTTGTACACCTTAAACCAATATAATGTTATGTGTAACTAACACCTAATTGATAACAAAAACCCCAGAATGGCAAAATTCTGCATCCACAGTGTCTCTTTGTGTCAATAAATCATCTTCATCTCCCATCAGTGGTTAATAGGACCAAAGCATTAAGCCAGGAAACCAAAGTTGTAGGCACAGGTATGCTACTAATTCTGTCACTTTGAGCAAATCATTTCACTTCCTAGGCTTCAATTTCTTATCTGTAAAATAAATTTGGGCCAGCTATCCTGGTTTTCTGTCAGTCCTAAAGTTTTTGTTAACATCACTGACTTTTCTATTTTAAGAAAACCACATGTAATAACAAATTTCATTTAAACCCTGAAGGACACTAACTGACACAGAAATATTTGAAAAAACATCTTTTCACAATGTAATACTTTATATCAGTGAAGACGTAGTTATTCTTTGTTTTAAAATATTCCCTGAGTTTGAGCTGTTTAAATAATCTTGCGCCCTGAGTTATGCAATTTTATAGAAAATGTATCTTTATATTTTGCATTTTTGTTTTTTCAGTTTTGAGGGAAATTTACACAATTATTCTTCTTCATGTATAATGATTTCTAATGTACATAGCCAGAATCTAGAAGAGAATTCTCCACTTAGATCCTAATGTGTGTTAAAGCTACAATTTTCCCTTTATGATCCCCCAAAAAAATCCTGAACATACCAGTTATTCCAAAATGCTATGGCTTACAAAAATTGCTAATTAATCCAAAGGGTTCCCTAAATCCCTTCTGGGTATAACTTAAAAAAAAAAAAACACAAACACCAAAGTTTCATTAAGCTTAATAGTTATATATAGAGAGTTTACAAAATAATCAGATTCAATATTTAGGCACTGGTAATTTTTTTTTTAATTGAAACCAGCAAACAGTCCATCCAAACAATATGAGCTATTGTCTGTCTGGCTTCCGTACAACTTTATCATTAGCCTCTTTCCTCTAAATAATTCACTAACACATTATTAATGAGTCCTGCTTCTTCACCAAATACCTCTCTTCTCTATACCACAGAACTCAGAAAGAATAAAAGAATTTCCGTTTAGGTAGTATTCTTGCTCAATTACATCTCTGGAAAGGAATGTGGTAAGGCAAGAAAGGGTGTCTTATTTACATTGAATCATAAACAACTCTTTACTCATAGCACTGTAATCATGCTCATGCAGAGAACTCTTCTGTCTGAAATCTATTCCACATCTGATATCTGATGCCATCCCATCTAGTGATAAAGGCCACAGCAACAAATCCCGTGTTACTGGATTTAAATAGTCAGTCCTGAGAGGACTCTGGCCGAATACTTTTACCTGCTGCCACTCATGACAGATCAAGTTTATCAACAGCCATCAGCCAAGCACATCCAAGTTGGATCCGGGCCAGAACAAGCAGCTTTGTTGCAATCTGAGCAGTGAGGTGGACGACCGGTGCACCATTCGGATGAAAACATGCGGGGACTGCTGGGTAGCAGCTGGAGCAAGTTTGGACACGCTGGTCGGGGGACATACGAGTGGTTAACTAGCGAGTCAAGCTTACCTCTTCTGGAAGCCCAGCTCGAGGTCTGTACTATGGTTTATGTCTTTTCTTCTTCAAAGAATCTTTGTCAATTTTAAAACCAACAGTGCCTGTACTTTTTAGGCTATTAAAACTTAGTGCAACATTTTATATTATGGATGTGAGAAAAATATGAATTCACTGATTGGCACAGTCTAAGGAAGTAACTTGCAAGTTGTAGTCTTTGATACGGATAAATTCTTTGGTAAGGACAAATTCAAGTAAAACTTGCCAAAAATAACTTCTAAGAAAACTATATCAAATATATCAAAGAATACCTGAAACTAGGAGCCAATACATTTTTACATGGTCTTTGCTTAGTAAGCAGTGACTACATATGCAAAAGGAAGACTCCCTTATTTCTCGAGCTGTTAAATGAACATTACTTCTAAGAGTTAGCAGAAGCCAAGTATCTCACCTCAAGAAGGGAAGCACAGAGTAAAGGAGATGTGAAATGTGGCAGCTGCTTTTGGTAAATCACTAAAGAGGCTCAATCTAGGCAGCATTAGAGAAATAGATCTATAGTAGGTCTAAAGACCTCAATGTTTAGGATCAGATGAAAAATGAATGATACTACTGTCCATGAAGAAAGAGGAAAATCTATTTTCTTGTTTTTGGAAAATCCTTTGGTAAGATTGGTATTTAAGTTCTCCAAAACCACTACTTAAAGGGAAAATGTATGTATATACACATATATACACACACACATATATATATATTATTTACATATATGTGCATATATACTGTGTCCTTCAGCAATTATTCCTTTTAATTGGATATTTCTTTAAGAGATTCCCTGAATAACAATATCCTGGATACAGTATACACAGAAGTATTAATAATTATAAAATTCTTGGAGGGAAGTAAACAAATTAGAACAATTTGGTCAAAAAAGTAAAGGCCCCCTTATTTGCATTAAAAAAAAATCCAAAACAATTTAAATCAATGTACCATGAATCATTAAATAAATCAAGGTAATCATTATCATTGTGTCCTATAGCTGTGTATCTCTCAACTGGAAAACAAGAATTTATCTCAAGAAATTGTCCAAATCCTCTGTATTAGCTCAATCTTTTAGTGCTCCTTGGTATTTGGACAGATTTAACACAACTAAAGGAAGTAGCAGTTATAGCAAAGAGGGGCTATGGCATTTCTCCTTTTGCAAATTTTTGTACTATTGATTATGCCATAAGTAGCATTAATTGTAAACAATAGGGTCTATTGCATAATATATTTTAAATAGAACAGTATCTTTATATTCTATGCATATTGAATTTGCAGGGTTTAGTATTTAAAATTTGATGTCCACAACTGATCAGAAACAACTATTATAGTATTAATAGAGAATAAAGAAGTCTGCAAAATAATCTGTGTTCAAAGTTGAAGAGTGATTAAGTATTAATAGTTTTAACATCAATTAGATTTCTTCACAATTGAAATAAATCTATGAGTTCATCTACTCATAGTAATCAAAGTCCCTTATTACATCACAATGTATTTTAAGTTAATAGTGCTGATAAATTACATTGGCTACAAGAAAATGGAAAGATTTTGATGCTAAAATATATTGATGTTAAAATATTTTTCTGAAAATCTGTACTTATTAAAATATAAACTTACTAATGCTGGATTTTTGTTCACTGTATTTTTAAGCCTTAGCAATACAACTCTAGACTTCTGGTTATCTTTGTTTTATTTTTTAATAAATTTGACCATTTGGTTCCCCAAGATACAAATGTATAAATATGTCCCTATTATTCAACAAGGGCGGTATACACATTGGCTCATGAAGTTCTCATGTTAATCCTCCAAAAATTATATTATTTCCATTTCATAAAAAAGAAAGCCCAGGTCCAGAGGGGGCAAGTGAATGGCCTCTGATCACTTAGATATAGAGGGTCATGCTGGGAATCCAAAGCCTGAGTTCTCAAACCCCAAAGACACTGCTCTGCTTCCCCAAAAACCCCACAATCTGAGGGGCCTCCCTAGTGGCACAAGGGGTTAAGCACCAAACTATGAAGCAATCCGCAGGCTCTGCAGCATGAGTTCCATCCCCAGCCCTCCAGGGAGCAGCCCACAGGGCGAGGCAGACCTCTCCTGTCTTTCCTGCCCGCTGCTCCCCTCAGCAGTGTGTTTCAGTCAGTCTGCCTGTTCAGCTCCCCACTCTGTCTCTGGTGTATCCTCTCACCCTCCTCCCCTGCATCTCTGGCCTGTACCCCAGCTCTTATATGCATAAATAAATCATTTTTGAAAAACCCACAATTTTTATGCATTGTAAGCTAAATATCTTACCTCGTATTTTACCTAGGACAAGATATCTGTTAGTATAAATTTGAATCTAATTTTGAATGAAACACTAAATTCTTTAGATAATAAAAAGACTATAAAAAAGTCATTTTTCAACAAAAAAACTATGAAACAGAGACACTTTTGGGGTGGGTGGGGGGCAGGAGGGGAGGGATTGGGATCAGAAAGGGGGGGTTGCAATTGTATGGGGAATATAAAAATAAAATTTATTATTTAAAAAAAAAGTCATTTTTAAGAGGTCATTATGAGCAAATGTTTGTCTTTTCCACCCAAATCAAGGTAAGAACCCTGTTCTCATTTAATTGTTATGCTTTATTTGATTAAATAACTTAGTATTTTGTTTTAAACACAATTATAAGACAATTTTTTCTTTTATATAGTAGATACTAACACACTTGCTATATGCTTTATATGTTTAATACATATTTTTTGGTAGATTTAAAGCATTATCTCTGCAATTTGGAATAGAATTTATTTTCCTATATTGCTTATTACCTTGCTGTTGAAGTAGACTATGCATATTATATTATTTACTCCATTAGGAATTATCTTTGTGAGATACTACCATAAAACTGACACCATCTAGTTAGCCTTACAATCAAAATTTTCCACATTTATCCTACAAGTGTTGCAAAAAAAGTTGAAGGAATTTTAAAATCTCAATTATAAGCATCAGCTATTGACTCAGATGTGAAATATTTATATTGATATGACCACATAAACAATGTCAATTTTTGCTCCAAAATTAAGTTCCATATAATCTCTTTGTAGCAATGTAATATCATTGGCCTAATTTTATTTATTTATTAAGATTTTTTATTTATGCATATAAGAATTGGGGTATAGGCCAGAAGTGCAGGGGATGAGAGGGATAAGTGGTGAGTAGGGAGCAGAACAGGCAGATTGACTGAAGTACACTACTGAGGGGAGCAGCACGTGATACAGAAGAGGTCTGCTGCACCTTGTGGGTAGTTCCCTGGCCAGGAATCGAACTTGTGCTGCAGTGGCTGCTGATAGCTTCATAGTGCTGAGACTTAACCCCTTGCGTCACCAGGGAGGCCCATGGCCTAATTTTATTATTTTTTTTTTAAAAAAACCTTAAACCATTGACTTTTATTTATTTATTTTTAAAGATTGATTGATTGATTGATTTATACATACAAGCACTGGGTACAGTCAGAATCATGGGAGGGTGAGAGAAAGCCAGAGGAGGGAGCAGAACAGGCAGACTGACGAAGTACATTGCTAAGGGGAGCAGCAGGCACAGCAGGAGAGCTCTGTGCACCATGTGGGACCCTTGCCAGCGGCCGGGGATCGAACTGGCACTGCAGAGGCTGCGGGCAGCTTCGCAGCCCAGCTCTCAACCGCTGCGCCACCGGGGAGGCCATGGCCTAATTTTAAATAAAATAAGTACATAAAGAGCAAGAGTTCTGATTCAGAGTGGCAGATACACCAGCTGAAATTCATTCCATATTTATTTCAGTGCAAACACTATAAAGTATCACCAGTCTGTTTAGACATTCTAAATCATACCTTACCGTGTCAATTCACTATTTCATGTAGACTCAGCTCATTGGCACAAATAAGTGGCAATAGTGATCTTTAGAGTAAATAATGACACAAATAATAAAAGATGAAAAAAAGAGCCTAGTCTTGCCAATCTTCTTTGGCCCATTTCCTAACTTTTTCATCCCCTAACTCCAGGGTGCTCAGAAAATAAGTTCCACCCAAGAAGATGTGGAGCCTTTCCTGTGCATCCTTCTTCCAGCCACCATTCTGCTCTTCCTGGCCTTTCTGTTGCTTTTCCTGTACCACCGCTGCAAGGCCCCAAGGCCCCAGGCTCAGGTTTTCAGCATTGACCTTCCAGAGCACTCAGTGGCAGGGGAGGTGACTGACTTCCTGCCAGGCTTGCCTTGGAGCAGCGAGCAGAACTTTCCCTACTCTCCTCTGCCCCGGGAGGCAGCTCTCCCCTCCACATGCTTACCGCCCTCCTATGAAGAGGCCACCAGGAGTCTCCAGGGAGGAGAGGCCCCGCATGAAAGCCTGCAGTGTGAAGAGGGTTCACGAGCACTGGATGAGCAAATATAAACTGCTGTTGGAAACCATTTAAAACACAGCTCTGGATCCTAAATCCAGCCCGCCTGAGAAAGGAGACGGATCTCTACACCTAAGAAGCTGCTGTTGACAGGATGAATGGGCCCCCGTTAGGCTGGGAGAAGTTTGACAAATGTCAGTCTAGTTAAGTTATTTTCAAGTTTGCGAGGGAAAATTTTCCTCACATTGTTCTAAAGATGACTGGACTTTGTAAAGCAAACAACATGCCTGAGAAAAATAGGAAAGGTTTGCATGAGTTGAGAAAAATCAGAATTACTAATTTTTTGTGAGTTTAAGAATTGGCTCTGAAGGGAAAGAAAAATGACAAACGCTAGACAGACCAAAGGCAACTGCTTTTGCACAAAAGAAAATGTCCGACACAAGTTTTTCAGGGCCACATGATTTCATTTCTGTGTGAGGGCTTCAGATGCATAGAGAGTTCTAGAAGGGCAGCTCCCCTGCTGCCTATGACTGTGCAGGTGTTTCTATTTACAAACCTTTCCCTTTGCAAAGCAGGAGCAGCAGGAACTGCCCACCTGTGGCTATGCAAGTACTTTTCTTTGTCCTTTTCTTAATAAACATATCCTTTTAAAAGGTTAAAAAAAGTTCTAGAGGGAGGAAATGATAATTCTAAACACTTGAGTAGTCAATTATTGTGTTGTATATTATGGTAAAATATGCTTTAATATTAAGAATGAAAGAACAGGCATTTGCAAACATTTTAGTGAAAAAAAATAAAGCTTTCCAAATTATCTCCTACTTATTGTTGCTCTTGCTTATTTGTCTTCTGATTTGCTTCCTAGGATCTGGTTTACTTGCATGGGTATGTCCCACATCAAAACATCAGGGGTCTCAACAGCACTGTGTGGCAGGACAAAGAATTGCTGATATGGTAGGTGACATGGCATCTGAATGTGCGGCTCTCACCAAACAGCAGTAACAGAATAGAAATCAGTCTAACACTGGAAAGTAAAGGTCAAAGTGTTGGATCAAATAGTAAAGAGAAACATAATTAGCTCTAACAGACCTTGGATAGAGGTTAAGTAACTAGTCCAATGTTAAATTGTTCATAAGAGGCCCAGCCAGGAAAAGAAGGCTGGTTTCTCCTAAGTTAGAAAGTCCCTTTCTTTGCACCCAATGTTCTCCCAACAAATCTAATGAATGGAGATGTGACATTTCCATCCATGCTTCTGATTGGGGGTCAGGGCTCTATAGATAAGAACAGCTAAGTTTGGAATAGATACATATCGCCCCTGTGATTTTCAAATGGAGAGGTAGAGATGGGTCTTGTATCACTTGGGAGGCATTTCAGCCCAGCCATGCAGGTGGGGCGGGAGCAGTCCAGAGACATGTAGAGTTGTTAAACTCTTATTTAATATGGTAATATTTTGTAGAATGATTTTTTATTGCTTTTCACAATGCAAAATGCAAGATGAGTCAACTCTGATGGTTCCAAATGAAAAAATTGGCTTTCTAAAAACCTTTATTGACATAAACATTTTTGTGCTAAACATGCAATGTGGCATACAATTTTTAAAAAAATAAGAGGCCAAAATAGGATTCATTATTTTTTTAAATGTAATCTAATAGAAATAACAGTATCTTTGAGCACTGAAGCAAATATAACCTATTGGAATGAAAATCAATAAGCTTCTTTCAGTAAATTGTACTGACTAATTCCCTAATGGTATTTCAGTAAATAAGCAAATGGACATGAGAAGCTCAGCAAACAACCTTCTTCAGATTTTTTTTTAACCATAAGAATCTAGTTCCTTGTGAAACTGCTGATTCTCCCCTTGTCACCAATCCTCTGCCTCCTTCCTGCTTCCCTCCTGACAGAACCCTGGTTTCGCTCTGGGATCCTAAGCCCACCTGTGTTCTCTCCCAGAGCCAGGAGTGCCACATCACAGCTAGTCTAGTGATCTCAATTCCTTCACTAGGGATTTGGTCTGTAGAACCTGAGGGAGATACACAGGGGAGGAGAATCTTGTTCTCGAAAAGGGTATCTCATATTAAAAGTACATGGAAGGAAATGCTCTGCCTCCTTGTTGGATGTTAAGTGTGTGCATATGATGCCTGGGTCTGCTTCTGCCATCCTGTAGCCATGCAGCACAACAGCAGCCATGACTAGTTTTGAGGAGAGAATGAAGATGGGAAACACCTGGGTTGATGAATTAACTCTGCAACTATCTTTTAATGAGAATATCTTTCCTACAGATTTAAGCCAGGCTTGAACAAAAGCTTCCCATCCCAGCTGCCATCATTTCTAACTCTATTAAGGGAATGCATTGCCATGTTTAAGTATTCTGATATTTAAAATAAGTACTCATTTAAAATGTTATCCAAGATCTGGGGAAGAAAATGTTTTTTTCTTATGAAACCAAACTGAAGCCATAAAACAAACAATTCACCAGAGCCTGCTTGCCACGCAACAGCCCACCAGCCATATCTCACTTGTACCTGTAATGGTACATCCTGAGAAACAAGAGTGGTTTTTCACATTTTTAAATAGTTGACAAAAACAAAGCAAAAGTATTTTGTGACACATAGGCTAGAACACAGCCAGGCCCACTTGTCTAAGGCTGCTACATCAAAGTCGAGTAATTGCAATAGAGACTGTGTATAATGTTTAAAGCCTAAAAAATATTGACTATTCCATTAAAGAAAGTTTGTTGACCCTTGCTATAGTCCAGTGGACTTTAATGCTGGCTGCATCTTAGAGTTACTTCAGGAACTTTTATAAATATTTGATGCTAGGACCCACCAAAATAATTAAACGGGAATAAGCAGTGATGTTAACAGGCAGGCAAAGCTGAAAACTGTTACTCGAGGTAATGTGAGTGAGCCACAAAATAAAACTGAGCTTCCATGTGGTTAGATGTAGCAGGTTTAGAGAAATCCAGATCTGTAAGTCTAGCTATGAGTCATTATTTACAACCCAACATTCTCATTCCTGAAGTCCCTGGCTTTAATATGCAGTCGCATCCAATTCAATTCACAAAGCAGAAATTTGCATGCCGAATATTAGGAGCAGACCATTTAAACCCAGACCTACGCAGACACAACTCGCAAACAAAAGCCCATGGTGTTGGTTTCTAGCACTCCCAGAAAAACAATTGAAAATCCACAAGCCAAACATAAATTGTTAACCACTCAGAAATACTCTGGAAGAAATGACTGCAGCCAGCAAAGATGAAGCTTGGAAGGAGTAAAACAGAATGTGGATATTTTCACGAAATTCTATACCAGACCCCACAAAAATTAGGGTATCGTTTTATAGAGAAAAAGCAGTGCAGTTATGGCATGGAAAGAGCTTGGAGCCATCAGTCCATCTCAACAAGAAAAACTGAACAAACTGGAAAATTAACAACTCTTAGAACCACCACCAAACTGAAGTCACAAAGGAACCGCTACCGCCAAAATTATACAGACTGATAAATAGATACAGAAAATCACAACTTACTGGGGCAGAAAGTTGAGCAGAAATCTCCGCAGGAACCAGCGTCTGGGAACCTGAGCTATAGTTTTTGGAGCCGCAGAGCAGACAAATCTGAAACTACTACGGGGCAGGAGGAGGAGGAGGGAAAGGAGCCATTTTTAAATCAGCCAGAACAGTCTGCTCCTAAGAAGGCCTACCCACAGGTGAAACTATTTTACCAGACCCTAATCTCACCTAACTGACCCAGGACAAGGGAAATTCGCCATCCCAGCTGGTCCTTGCTGTCTTATTCCACAAGGGACAGCACTTGGTGGGGGGGGTGGCGATGAGAGGGGATACAGAGAAGCACTTGTGAAGGGCACAGCCCCCCTGAAAGACCCAGACCTAATTACAGGACTAGACTGCATTCCCTCCTTCCATATCTGGTCACCTCATAATTAAAGCCTATTTACTACAGTTCCTTTATCCACTACATCGGGTCTACCTTTCAAAAAATATTGCAATGTATGTTAAATGACTCTGTGAATGACGTTGTCAAGACAAGAAAAGCTACAGAGGGCCTCCCTGGTGGCACAAGGGGTTAAGTCTCATCACTATGAAGCTATCTGCAGCATGAGTTTGATCCCTGGCCAGGGAGCCAACCCACATGGCTCAGCAGATCTCACCTATCTTACCTGGTGTTCCCCTCAGCAGTGTATTTCAGTAAACCTGACTGTTCTGCTCCCTACTCTATGGTGAATCCTCTCACCGCATGCACCTCTGGCCTAGACCCCAGCTCTTTGTATACATAAATAAATAAATCTTTAAAAAAAAAGAAAAGCCACAGACTGGGAAAAAATATTTGCAAAAAATCATTTCAAAAAAGGAGCATTATCCAAAATACACAAATACTTTAAATGTAAAATTTTAAAAAAGGACAACTCAAAAAAATGGGCAGAAGGACCAAACAGATACCTCATCAAATATACATAGATGTCAAATAAGCTTTTGAAAAGATGCTCAACATCACTAGGAAATTGTAACTTAAAACAACGCAGTACTACTACATCTATTAGAATGGAAAAATCCAGAACACTGACACCAAATACTGATGAGGTTGTGGAGCAACATTTGTTGGTAGGAAAACAAAGTGACACTGCCACTTGGAAATGTTTAAGTTTCTTATACAACTAAGCATACTCTTATCATATGATCCAGCATTTGCACACCCTCACATTTAATCAAATTAGTTGAAAACTTGTGTGCACAAGAACAGTAATTCAAAGGGATATATCAGAAAGGATATATTTATTGGGCCCCCCCTGGTGGCGCAGGCCATTGAGCACCATGCTGTGAAGCTGTCTGCAGCCTCTGCAGCACTGGTTCAATCCCGGCCAGCGGGCGAGTGTCCCACATGGCACAGCAGACCTCTCCTGTTGCACCTGCTGCTCCCCACAGCAGTGTATTTTATCAGTCTGCCTGTTCTGTTCCCCGCTCTGTCTCTGGTGAATCCTCTCACCCTCCTGTGCATCCGGCCTGTACCCCGGTTCTTCTATAAATAAATAAATAAATCTTT